AGCTACTCCTGGATGCAAATTTCGCGTCTGAACCACTCCGAAGTGAACGCGGTGTTCGCCAGGGGGACCCACTCGGCCCGCTACTGTTCGCGGCAGGGATGCACGCAACACTCCGCGACACTGCAGACACACACCCTGGTGTGCTTTGTTTGGCGTATGCGGACGACGTGACGTTCATCGGGGAAGCAGAAGACACTGTAGCAGCTTTCAACCACTTCACCAGCAAATTGTCACTTCTGGGGCTCGAACACAACCCCCAGAAATGTGCCGCATGGAGCTCGAATAAAGTACAAGCGCCCCACCTACCTCCAGGAGTGCCGTTCTCAAAAGACGGCGTGCAGCTATTAGGCAGCTTCATCGGGCCTGACGACGGCGCGGCTACCTTCCTGGCAGAACAGCTGGCCGAAATGGCGAAGCCGTTGCCGCTGATTGAACGGACGGATCCCCAGGTAGCGGCACTGCTAATCACGCGCTGCATTTCGAGGCGCGTCGCGTACATGACACGGACAACGCCCCTGAGCCTCCTTCCCCGCGACAAGTGGAGCCAGTGGGGCATTGACCTTCTCACCACCCTCCTTACCGCCTGCGACCTCCGCATGCCGACCTGCCAAGCCGAGCAGACGAGGGTTTGAAAGCAGGCGTCGCTACCACCGTCTTTGGGGGGTCTCGGCATCACAAATCCCCTAGTCGAGGGGATCTACGGCTTCGCAGCAAGCTTCACCCAGGCGGCGCTGTTTCTCAACAACCTCGCGCTGGGTGACGTGAATGCGCTCGCGCAGGCGCGGGACCACATGCTCCTGCCGCGGGACAGCAGCACGCCTCTGCACGTTTGGCTGACGGGGTGTGAGGAGGCGCTACCGACGGACGCCCGCGAGATATTAGAGAAGGAGCGGCTCGAGCGATCTGACCTACGGCTGCAGCATGTCCTCGGGCTGCAGGTGCACGGCAGCAGATATGCCGTACAGGTGCAAGCGACGAGGCGCATGCGGCTGAATCCGCTCGCGGGTCATACGCAGCGGATGTATTCTCTGACTGGCTATGGCACAGGCGATTGGATCACGGCGGTCCCAGTGGCAGCGACGCGGCGGATAGGGCCAGTGCACTTTGCGAACGCGGTGCGCTTCCGTCTCGCCCTGCCATTCTCAACCCCTAAGAACTGTGACTGCCCTGAGCACACGGCCATCCCCGACCCCCGCCTTCCGAACCATCTGCTTCGGTGCGCCACAGGCAAGCACCGCACGAACACCCACAACGAGCTGCGGGACGCTTGCGTCAGCATGGCGCAAGATGCGGGCTTTATAGTCCATCGGGAGTCCACCGCCTACTGCCCCATCGAGGAACAGACGGCGGATTTCACCATGACAGACAGAAGCACCGGAGCCGTCTACATCTGCGACGTCACCGTCACTGATCCCATCAGCACCAGGGACCCAGAGGCTCAGAAAGGCAGAGGGTGGGCGGCCCGGGAGCAGGCCGACAAGAAGATTAAGCACTATGCCAACCGCCCGGAGACGGTTGGCTTTTTCCCCCTCGCAGTAGACACCTATGGCTGCCCATGCGCGGAGGTTCCGGTATTCCTTAAGCTTCTCGCGGACTCAGCGGCTCGGCGCCACTTCAACGCCGACTCAAAATCTTTCTATGCCGCCAAGTTCTTGCACCAATTCCGGCAGCGTTGGTCGGTAGCCCTCCAAAGGGCCCAGTCAGTGGGACTTCTCATGAAGTTGGGCGAGGCAGCAGCAGCAGAAAACCCCCCGGTGGGGGGGATTGGGCATGAGCTGCACCTGGGGGATTGTTTCGCAGTAGTAGAGCCCCTCTTAGAGCTTTAGAGAGGGGCGGTAGGGTGATAGCAGGGGTGCTTTAGCATTGGTACTTTGTGTTGTTTGTTGCTTGCTCCATACTCTGCATGTGTGTACCTTCTTGATCTATCAATACACGGACCATTAGAGAGAGAGATAGAGAGAGAGAGAGAGAGAGAGAGAGAGAGAGAGAGAGAGAGAGAGAGAGAGAGAGAGAGAGAGAGAGAGAGAGAGAGAGAGAGAGAGAGAGAGAGAGAGAGAGAGCGCTAGAGAGAGACGGATAGAGAGCAATAGAGTCCGGCAAAGAGTGAGCTAAGCAGCGGTAGAGCTTAAAGACACTAAACGGTTATGCTATTTTCGTTCACGTCACAACTGGTTTGGCGCAGTCCGTCCTAGCATCGGGAACCCTATGTATGACGGCAGCTGAGGACAGACATGGGCGGCTATTCGGTGATAGCGCACCTTTTCGGGTCGAAACACGGGTGATTCGCCTGCCGCGGACCTCGATGGGATCGTTGCACGACCGAATGATGGATTAACCGCCTCCACCCGCGCCGCAACTCTCCTGGCGTGTCAGCGCAACTCGCCACCATGTAGCCGCCAATGCCGCCACTGCGGCTTCGCTGCTCAAGTTTCTGTCGATCGGTATGCCGCCTTATCAATGATCAGCAGCTGTTGTCGTTCTACGTGACGCTGTGGAAGCGGTCGTCGGAAGAGGCGGGGACGCCGCGTCGCCGCGGTTCCCAGTGACACGCGGCGCGCGTCTTTTCAGCTGATATCGCTTGTGTGGCCGATGCTGCATGTGCTACTATTGAGACCGCTTCTAACGGCGCTGCAGGTGTACGTCGTCGGAGCACACAGTTGCGCCGCGAATGACGCGGAATGGCCGCGTCGCGTTGGTTCCCGGAAGCTCGAGGTTGTCGCAAGCAGAGATCGTCGCAGATCTTAGAGGTGCTGTCTCTTCTATCGTTGCTCAAGAACGGGATTAGATAGCAGCGGCTCCAAATGGAATGCCTTGTTAACGTCGAGTGAATTCATAGTGAATACACAGACGCGCGGGGTGTGAGAGCGAGAGTGAAAGCGAATCACACCAGTTGAATTCCTGGCTTTGTACAGATACTGCTCATGCATCGTGAAAGAAATGGGTTCAGAACGGGAAAACAGTTCTGATATTGGTTTGCAATGGTGATTGCGGTTTCAATACGGTAATAACACCAACAAAATATATAATTCAACACACATGATTGTAGGGTGGGAGCCCGATGTGATCGGGTGGCTCAGCGAGGAAGCGTGATGTGCGGGGCTTTGTGGCATTGAATTATTGGTTCCAATAAGATCGCACGCGAATTATTGGTTCCACTAAGATCACCAGCACCACAAACAGCTTCGTTACGGAAAACAACATCCAGTGAATGAGTAGCACCTGCAATGTATAAATACTGCATATTCATTGTGCTCACACTAAACCCATTAATTCAAACTATTATACACCTAAAACCAGACACTCAAACAAAAGATTCCATCCATATTGAGCATAAAAAATACAAGAACGTGCCAACCGTGATAGTCCATACTAAATATCGCAGTTGATTACTTAATTGAATTTCACACACCCTTATGAGTCGCAAGCACAAAAAAAAAACGTAGCATTTTGTCAATTGATGGATTAGTTTGAAACATACAGATTAAATTAGCTCTAATTGACTTTTTATGCATTTGACAAGTAACACTACTTCTCAAAACATACTACATGCATATTACTGAATCTAGTCTCTGTAATAAAATTCACTGCTAGGCGAGGATATTGTACACTGATTTAAAAAGCCCCAGTCAACCAGCTGACCCTCGTCATTTCTGGACCAGAGATTGCACCCCTCCCGAAAGACCCATTCACGCTGATTGGCCAAGGGCCACGTTAACAGTGCCTGAACAACCATTTACGAACATCATAAACAGTGGCAAAACCAGCAACGAAGATCGCTCAGGGAAACGGGGGCAATCCGACGGTTAACCGTGCTTGATACCTTGCTCGCAAACGACCACAAACGTCCCGCGCAAATTCTGGCTGTCAACCCAGCGCTAACGGTGGTTCGCAACGAGAGGCGGGGCGTAAACTGCCCTGAAATAGCACACAGGCCGAAACGCCTCATGAACCCCCCAAAACCGAGCGGACTCCAACCCTAAAATTGCCCCCAACCCAACCCCCCCCATATTCCTCAGTTTTACATTTTTCTGATGATACGCAGGCGCCTAGAGCGCTGGCGCCTAACGCCATCCAAAAAATGGGGCTGATCGAAACCTACCGTGAAGCTACTTTTTAGTTACTTCTCGGTTGTTGTCCAGGAAACAACTTTCTAGTTACTAGCGAACCTACTGCAGAGTGCTGATGCGAGGTTGGGCTTCTCCGAACGTAAACATACTGGAGAGTTACTTTGTGGCAGGAATGAACTTGTCTGCAGCGAAGTCCCCACGATGGCACACGAAACGCAGTAACTCAGCTTTTGCGACTGTTGCGGCTTACACCCATTTGAACACGAAAAGCTGAGTAACATCGCGTTCCCTTAGCTGTGACTTTCTGACTGGCTGGGAAGTCATGTTTGCACTGGGTTGCGTCGAATGAGCGCATCTCGCGTCACATGCTGTCAGAAAGTTCGGCTCGTTCATCATTGGTCAAGTTTACGACACCTGTCAAGCATCTACCGAACAGGTCAGACAACACGACCGAACTGTTGGATTACACGTTTCAGCATGAGGCACACGGCAAATGCACGCCTGTGCAACACGTCGCAATAATTTTCTTAGTGTCTGCTGACGTGTGCATCTAGTGCATCCCCAATTGTCGCTATATTATTGTCTCGCGAATTTGTGTGTTACAGTTACAATGCTGTTGATAGGGTAACTTGTATTTAGCGAGATAACTCATTAGTACTGTAAAAGCATTTGTTTCCTGGTTATTTATTTGCTTATAATAACGTTTATTGTTTATATGATTATTAATTAATACGGTTATTAATTTATATGATTATTTATACGATTATTAATTAATACGATTATACGATTATTAATACGATTTTTAAATTACGCGATTATTAATTGCAAATTACTAAATGACAGGGTTATTGAACAAATTACTACGACACAGAGACTACGACGCAAACACACCTGCAAACACACGACATCATATGCTTGCTCAAAAGGTGAGGCTTAGGGACCTTGCAACCCTGGCAACCCTGCGCATGAGATAAACACCCTCTCGGTCGTTGCATGGAATTTCCAAGCAGCCTTATCAGCCTCCCACCACGGGCCCGTAGCTGCGGTCCTATTCTGGACGACGAACGCGACGGCATTGTGGACTTTCGAATGTTGAATCGTCATTGCGTTTCGATTGTCAACCGGGCTCCGCGGCATTTCTTCACCATTGATCAACTTGTATTCGACCTGCAACGAGCAATGGGTTGGGGTGTTTTTCACGTATGTCAAAAACCAGCATCGCGACACTGCAACTAGACAAAACAATGTGTTAACACAACCCCCCAAGGGCTCAACATACCCCCAGCAGGAAAAATGCAAGTTGCTTGAATCGAAGCACCACAAAGGAGTGCCCCGGCCTCTGAAAAGAGTGGAACACTGCAGATGTGAAGAAGTCCGTTGAGAAGGGCAGCCCATCGTCATTGAAGTGCCACTTCAGCAAGCCCCATGAATTCGCATCTACTCAACAGTGGGGGTGATAATGGGAGGAGAAAAGACGCGTTGGTGGATGCTATATATTGAGTGGGTGGGGGCATGTGTTCTGAGCGGAGAAATGACTGTGAGAGGGGCTGCATAAACACGCAAAATGCCTGTCACTGCAGTGGCGTTAAACGTGTGCCTGCTGGAAGTGGACAAGCTAGATGCACTACAGTAGGGTACAAGGGGGGAACGGGAAGGGTTAGTAGGAGGCGCTAGGGTTTAGCAGTGAAACACACATGTTGTGACAGGTGCACTACAGTAGGGTTCAGTTCAGGTGTGCCTGCTGTAATGGGAAGGTGAGGGCACAAGGGAGGGAGGAGCTGGTTCAAATGAGACACAGGGCCTTGTGAATCACGCAAGGTGCCCTCCAGCGTCTGCCCTCTGTTGCGCCTGCTGGAATGGGAAGGTGGGGGCACAAGGGAGGGAGGGGCTGGTTCTAATGAGACTCCAGGGCCTTGTGAATCACGCAAGGTGCCCTCCAGCGTCTGCCCTCTGTTGCGCCTGCTGGAATGGGAAGGTGGGGGCACAAGGGAGGGAGGGGCTGGTTCTAATGAGACTCCAGGGCCTTGTGAATCACGCAAGGTGCCCTCCAGCGTCTGCCCTCTGTTGCGCCTGCTGGAATGGGAGGGTGGGGGCACAAGGGAGGGAGGGGCTGGTTCTAATGAGACTCCAGGGCCTTGTGAATCACGCAAGGTGCCCTCCAGCGTCTGCCCTCTGTTGCGCCTGCTGGAATGGGAGGGTGGGGGCACAAGGGAGGGAGGGGCTGGTTCTAATGAGACACCAGGGCCTTGTGAATCACGCAAGGTGCCCTCCAGCGTCTGCCCTCTGTTGCGCCTGCTGGAATGGGAAGGTGGGGGCACAAGGGAGGAAGAGGCTGGTTCTAATGAGACACAGGGCCTTGTGAATCACGCAAGGTGCCCTCCAGCGTCTGCCCTCTGTTGCGCCTGCTGGAATGGGAAGGTGGGGGCACAAGGGAGGGAGGGGCTGGTTCTAATGAGACACCAGGCCCACACTTTGAAGCCCACACGGAGTGCAGGTGCCCTACAGTTTGACTGCAGGTGCACATGCTGGGTGGGAAAGGTCGGGACACAAGGGAGGGTGCGGCTGGTTATAAACGAGGCACATGGCCCACACTTTGAAACCCACAGTGAGGGCAGGTGCATGGGTGTTTGCCCTCAGGTGCGCCTGCTGGGTGGGGAAGGTGGGGACACAAGGGAGGGTGCTGCTGGTTAGAATGAGGCATGTGGCCCACAACGTGAACCCCGCTATAATGGCAACTGCAGGGGGGTTTTGCCCTCAGGTGCGCCTGCACGGTGGGGAAGGTGGGGACACAAGGGACGGAGCGGCTGGTTAGACCGAGGCACACGGCCCACACTTTAAAACCCACAGATATGGCAGGTGCGCTGCAGGTTGGGAGCATGCGTGCCTGCTGGAAAGGGAAGGGGGGGTGCAAAAGGGAGTGAGCGCTTGGAGAGAACGAGGCACACGGGTCTGTATGGTCCCGCATCAATGGCGGGTGCAGTGCATTGGCAAAAAAGGGGGTGAGACTGGTGTGGGGGGTAAGAAAGAAGGCGTGGGTGGGGCTCCCTCTTACCAGGGTGATGTTCGGCACAAAAGGCCGCTGGAGAGAGGGTTCCGACCACTTCCCTCCCGCGATCCGGCCGAGCAATGCGGATGTTGAAGCGCTCGTACAGCATCACACGGCCCATCGTGTGGACCTTGTTGCGTGCATCCTGCTGCTGTTTTCGAAGGTGGGACGGGAGCGTTCTCTTGTTCTCCATGACCAGCCGCACTTTCGCCACATAGTCGGCGCCGGTGATTCCGATAGCGGTGCAAAGTGCAGTGATGTTCGTGTCCCGCGGCGTCCAATATTCAAGGTCGACATCGGGCGTCTCGAAGTACATGATCTCCACCGCACGTTTCGCCGCTCCCTGACAACGGAGCAAGGGGAGTTTGCATTGGAAGGGGGAAAAGATGAAAGGGAGGGGAGTGGAGGGCAGGGGCGGGGAAGGGGTTGGGGGAGGCGGAAGCTTAGGATGAGAGGGCGGATTGGGATACGTGTGAGGTGAACAAGCGCAAGGTAAGGCGCACATGCAATCCACTCATGAAAGTGGATGTTTCCATGCAAACTTGGAGAGTTCACGCCAACGACCTACACAACAAGCATGCACCCAACCCAATGGACCTTAAACCCGTTGTGAATATCGGGGACGCCTGCCAAGGCGGCGGCGTAGCGGTGAGCCCACGTCAGCTGCATGCTTGACAGCTGTTGCAAGTCCAATATGACGCCTCGCTTGTGCGCCAGCTTCACCGCGTTTTGGATTGCATTTCGGTTCGGCTCCACACGAATGACGCTGGGAACCGGAGGCAGCATAGTAGCGGCTGCCACGCCGTTGTCCCGTCGACCCGTGCGCGCCCCGCTTAAGGCCCCGTTTGGCCCCGTCGACCCGCCCGCGGCCCGCTTAGTGGCCCCGTTTGGCCCCGTCGACCCGCCCGCACCCCGCTTAGAGGCCCCGTTTGGCCCCGTCGACCCGCGCGCGCCCCGCTTACGGCCCCGTTTGGCCCCGTCGACCCCGCGCGCGCCCCGCTTAGTGGCCCCGTTTGGCCCCGTCGACCCGCGAGCGCCCCGCGAGCGCCCCGCTTAGTGGCCCCGTTTGGCCCCGTCGACCCGCACGCGCCCCGCTTACGGCCCCGCTTGACCCGTCGACCCCGCGCGCGCCCCGCTTAGAGGCCCCGTTTGGCCCCGTCGACCTGCTCGCGCCCCGCTTACGGCCCCGTTTGGCCCCGTCGACCCGCGCGCGCCCCGCTTACGGCCCCGCTTGACCCGTCGACCCCGCGCGCGCCCCGCTTAGAGGCCCCGTCGACCCTACCCGCCGCCCCTACCCGCACCGCACGCGACAGCCGCGGCCCCGCCAGCAACAGGCCGCCCGAACCGAGCCGCCCAGTCCGAGCCGAGCCGAGCAGCCAGAACCGAGCCGCGCCGCCCGCACTGAGCAACTTCTCTGGACCGAGCCGCCCTACCTGCGTCGCGCTGCCCACTGCGTTTAGGACTCACTTACTGCTACTGCTACGGCTACTCCTACTGCTTCTATGGCTACCCCGCCTGTACTAGCTTTCGATGCTGAGGGCCGCCCAGTGAAGTTTGATACTTGGCTTGATGACCTGCACCTCTTCCTACAGCTCACTGCCAAGGAGGATATCTCACTGTATGACCACGCCCTCGGCCATGCTCCTGCCCCTGCTACTGATGCTGACAGCACTACCCGCTCACAGTGGCAGACTCGTGACGCCCACGCTCGCTTTGCCATCCGCAACTCCCTGCCGTTAGATGAGCGCGAGCACTTCGGCCAGTGGAGACTGCTAGAGACCTCTACACCGCTGTAGTTGCCCGTTACTCCTCACCCGCTTCTGCTACGCTAGGCCGCCTCACTCTTCCCTACCTGTTCCCCGACCTAGCCTCCTTTCACACTGTCGCAGACCTCATCACCCACCTTAAGACTAGTGAGGCCCGCTTTCGCGCTGCTATGCCTGCCGAGTTTCTCACTAGCAACCCCCCCCCCGCTCTGGATCACTCTCTACCACATCGTCACCCGCCTCCCTGACTCTCTGCGCGCAGTCAGGGACCAGTTCCTCTCTCGCTCCCCCACTGAGCTCACTGTTTCCCTCCTCGAGAAGGAACTGCTTGCAGCTGAGGCGAGCATCGTCGCTGTAGGCACCTCTCGTGGCGACCCCCGCACCCCGTTCTTCGAGGGGTGTTCCCCTTCCCCCCTCCTCCCCTCTGTCGCCTCTGCTGCTGCTGTCGACCTCCTTGGTGCTGAGAAGGTCGGGACCGCGTCTGCTTCGAGCGGGCGCCGCAGGGGCAAAGGGGGCAGGGGCGGGGGTGGCGGCGGAGGAGGTGGGGGTGGAGGCGGTGGGAGTGGAGGCGCGGCTGAGGAGGCTAGTGGCGGTAGTGGGGGAGGCGACAGCAGCGGCGGGAGTGGTGGCAGGGGCGGAGGCGGCAGCGGAGGCGGAGGTGGTCGTGGTGGCGGCAGGGGTGGAGGTGGCCGGGGCGGAGGCGGAGGGGGTGGTGGTCGTGGGGGCACTGGCGGAGGGCAGAGTCAGCAGCCAGCCCCGACGCTTCAGGCCGCCCGTGAGTGGTATGCGCAGCGTGGCTTTACCTGCACGTACGTCATTCGCACAGGTGACCGCAGCGGCCAGCAGTGTGGGAGGCCGCACCCCACGCAGCGCTGCTTCGCGCGCCTTAACGACGCGTGGCGCACTCAGTTTCCTGCTGCCACTGAGCTGCCGCGCTGGGCTGATCTGGAAAAGAGGGGTGTTGATATTTGGGCTTTAGACTTTGATGCTATTCTCACTGCCATGTATGCCATGTCTATTAGTGGAGAGGGTGCTCAGTACTTGCGTGTTCCGCCCGACCCGGGCATTCAGGCCAGTCCGGCTGCCGCTCTAGGTGCTAGTGCGTCTGCTCCCACAGGTCCTGGTGAGGCTGCAGCCCTAGGTGCTCGTGCGTCCGTGTCCCCTGGTACTGAGTCGACTGCAGCACTGCACACCTTCACACTGGACTCAGGTGCTTCTCGCTCCTTCTTTCGTGACCGCACTGTCCTTGAGCCACTTGCTCGGCCAGTTGCTGTCTCCCTCGCTGACCCCTCTGGGGGTCCGGTCATTGCGACCTCCTCCACTGTCCTTCCTTGTCCGGCGGTCCCGTCCGGCACGCTGTCAGGTCTCTACCTCCCCTCGTTCTCTACGAACTTGGTGGCAGGTAGTGCGCTCCAGGACGGGGGTGTTCACCAGTTCACCCCCGCCTACGAGCGCGTGACACACTGCACGTGTGCTCGGACGGGTCGCCACCTGGCTACCTTCACTCGGGAGCCGGGGTCGGACCTTTACACACTGACCACTGAGTCCCCTTAGGTAGCTGCGTCCGCGTCTGCGTCAGGTCAGCTGTCCGCCCCCTGCTCGTGTCGCTCTCTGGCGCATGAGACTGTCCTTTGGCACCACCGCCTTGGTCACCCGTCTGTGCAGCGCCTTCGGGCCATGCACAAACAGGACCTTGTTGCTGGTCTTCCCAGGGTGCTCCCTCCCCTTCCCGACTCGCCTGCTCCTCCCTGTATTCCCTGTGTCGAGGGACGGCAGCGCGCCGCTCCTCACTCCTCCTCCTTTCCCCCGACGACTGCTCCCTTGCAGACACTCCACATGGACGTGTGGGGCCCAGCCCGCGTCCGTGGTCAGGGTCAGGAGAGGTACTTCCTGATTGTTGTTGATGACTTCTCGCGCTACACCACGGTCTTCCCCTTGCGCGCCAAGGGTGACGTCCCTGATGTCTTGATCCCTTGGATCCGCAGATCTCGTCTCCAGCTCCGTGAGCGTTTCCACTCCGACTTCCCTGTCCTGCGTCTGCACTCTGACAGAGGTGGACAGTTCTCCTCTGGCCTATTGGAGGCCTTCTGTCAGCAGGAGGGCATTGCGCAGTCGTACACGCTTCCGGACTCGCCACAGCAGAATGGGGTTGCTGAGCGCCGCATTGGTTTGGTCATGGAGGTCGCTCGTACCTCCTTGAGCCATGCGGCTGCCCCCCATTTTCTGTGGCCGTTTGCAGTCCGATACGCTGCGCATCAGCTCAACCTCTGGCCCCGTGTCTCTTTGCCCGAGACTTCTCCGACACTGCGTTGGACGGGAGAGGCTGGCGATGCGTCGCGTTTTCGGGTCTGGGGATCCCGAGCTTTTGTCCGCGACACGTCCGCGGACAAGCTCTCCCGTCGCGCTGTCCCCTGCGTCTTCCTTGGCTTTGTCCCGGACGCCCCTGGTTGGCAGTTCTACCACCCCACCTCGCGGCGTGTCCTGGCCTCTCAAGACGTCACTTTTGACGAGTCCGTCCCCTACTACCGCCTCTTCCCCTACCGCACTGCCCCGCTCCCCCCCCCGCCTCTCTTCCTCGCTCCAGGTGCTGAGGTACCAGACCCCCTCCCCCCTCAGGGTGCCGCTCCCTCAGGTGTGTCCCAGGTAGACCCGGGTGAGCCTGTCGAGGTAGCTGTTGACTCTCGTCCTGCTCGGGGTGCTGAGCCTGGGGGTGCTGCGTCTGGGGGTGCTGAGCCTGGGGGTGCTGCGTCTGGGGGTGCTGAGCCTGGGAGTGCTGAGTCTGGGGGTGCGGAGCCTGGGGGTGCTGAGCCAGGAGGTGCGGAGCCTGGAGGTGCTGAGCCTGGGGGTGCTGGGTCTGGGGGTGCTGCGTCTGGGGGTGCTGAGCCTGAGCGTGCTACACCTGGAGGAGCCCTCTCCTCCCAGCAGCTGCAGGAGAGGTACCTCGAGTACTGCCGCCTCCGGAGAGGTGCTGCTGGAGCTCGTCCCGGTACTTCCCCTCCTTCCCAGGAGCTCCTCCCCATTCAGCAGATCCGCGAGTGGTACACACGGCGCTGCAGTCTTCGGAGTGGTGCTCCTGGTGCTGCGGACCCTGGGGGTGGCGCTGCTGCTGGTGCTGAGGACCCGGGCGGTAGAGCTGCTGCTGGTGCTGAGGACCCGGACGGTGGAGCTGCTGCTGGTGCTGAGGACCCGGACGTTGGGGCTGCTGCTGGTGCTGCGGACCCGCCTGGTGGAGCTGCTGCTGGTGCTGAGGACTTGGACGTTGGAGCTGCTGCTGGAGCTGAGGACCCGGGCGGTGGCGCTGCTGCTGGTACTGAGGACTCGGACGGTGGAGCTGCTGCTGGACCTGAGGACCCGAGCAGTGGCGCTGCTGCTGCTGCTGGTGCTGAGGACCCGGGAGTTGGAGCTACTACTGGTGCTGAGGACCCGGCCGGTGGAGCTGCTGCTGGTGCTGTGGACCCGGCCGCTGGAGTCTCCTCTGCTTCTGGAGACGCTGCGCGACCGCGACCGTACTTCGTACCGCTCCTTCAGCAGGTTCTTAGGCAGGCTCCTCCTCCTTGTCCTCCTCCCTCCGTAGAGTGTCCTCTGCCTGTTCAGTCGCAGTCACAGTTACCGCCTACCTCGCCTCTCCCTGCTCCCTCTCCTTACACTGGTCCCACAGGAGGTCTTACAGAGCGTCGTGAGCCTGAGTCCCGTCCTGCGTCGCCTGTTCGTCCTGCTCGCACTGGTAGTCGTGTCTGTCGTGAGCGTCCTCCTCCTGTCCCAGGCACTCA